TGTGGAGTAAAAAGATTCGTCGGATATCTCTATCTGTTTTTTTAACCTATTATATCCTTATATTATTAACAATTTATTATTAACAATTTTTTTCTTAGTATTAAATAAAATTTCAGAATCTACTCAAGAAAACTCCAATATCAGAATTCAAAGAGTCGGATAAACACATGCAGGTTGGATAAAATTATAATAAGATAAGAAAGAGAGGCACAGAGGAAGCAGCTATGGAGAAGAATCCAATATATCCGCGAAGAGAATCGAAAAGAGAAGTATAGCGAATCGAGCAGGTATCCAAAGAAACGAGAGCAAAATGACCTGTCGAGGTTCACCAGGAGGAAACGGATGGCAGAAGAGAGGTTATAAGAAGAAGAGGAAGAAGAAGGGTTGGGAAGAGGGGAGACAGTTGCGTACGGTCGCGCAGGTAGATAGGTGATACATTGGCAGCGGTCGAGTTGGTGGTGTAGCATGCAGCAAAGTGCATTCGGTGCACGCCAGTGCACCCAGATAGCGGGGGCATCGAGAGAGGAGAGAGAAGCGAGCGAGTGGCCAAGCTGGCGAGCAGTCAGCCAGTGAGGCAGGCGTGCCCGATGGTTACGGCAATCACCGCACATGCTCCCAAGCTCCTGACCACGAGGAGCACAAACAAAGGCAATGCTCACGAAACTGCTATCCATTTATTCCATCGGTCAAAGAAAACCACTATAGAGCTGCCCTGGTGTCTAACCTGTGTCTCTGTCACGATCTAACGACCATTGATAGTTAATTGTTAGTCAACTGTTAATTGAAACACCTATAGTGGAAATTTTCCGTGATGATCTTATATTATTTCAAAGAAATTACTTCAGAACAAAATTTTTTGAAACTAACGTATTTATTTTACTAAAAGAAAATTATCCATGAGACAATTGTAACTCAAGTATTTCCAATTTACAATATCAAGTGTTAAGTCAAATCAAAGAATTATTATTAACACTATTAATTTGAGACTTGTATAATTTCATTAACAATACAATGCAATTATGCAATAAATTCAAGTGAGTATTTATAGAATATCATACTTAGAAGATCATCGAAAAAATAGATCCGAAGAGGAACGAAACGATGGCTTGGTCGTGTGCGGCCGATCGCGCGTTAGCGCCGCAGGCCAGGCATCCACCTGCCCGAGCCAAACGCCCACGCGGCGGACTGCTCGTGCATACGTGCTCGATCTCGCACACCGGCGCGCTCTGACGAGAAATGGCCCGCGGGCCTAGCTCCGTTACAATCAGGCCTGCTCGTGGCATTCCGCGAAACGCACGGCGAACACGTCATCGGCTGCTCGAGAGAAGAGCGCGACCTACGCGCGCGTGCATGTATGTTGGAGGACAGCCGGACCATGTCGTCGCTCGAGCGTATTGCTTCGATGCGACACTGCATAGAGGAAAGAAAGAGAGAGTATATATGTGTGTGTGTGTAAAGTTAGCAAAGGAAAACTGGGAGAGGCACGTTATGAGAGGGGAAAAAAGGAATGGAAGGTGGAAATGTAAGGAAACGCATGTATAGAGTGGTTAGAGGTAATATGAATATGTCGGATGACATGCTTTGAATCTAATACACCGTTTAGATTTGGAATTGCATGGAAAGTGTTATAACGTTTCGAGCAAATTAGAAGGACATTTCAAGGATAACTTAAAATTGTCAATGATTTTCCAAGGAATTATTAAAGTGTTCAAAGAAGTACTAAGTAACTTTTAAGTGATAATAAAAGTAAAGGATTGTCCAATTTCGGAAACGACAAAACAAACTGGTAGAATCCATAAGATTTCTAATATCAGCTCGCAGCTGTGTAACGCCCGCATTTACAGGATTTAGACGCAGTTATATTGGATCCGGTTAACGGAGAGAGAGTAACGAGCAGTAAGCACGAAAGCAGTCACGTTGGAATTCGCGCGATCGACCAGCTACCGTGCTATCTTCTCCTGAATTATTCGGATGGTTTTTAACGAGAAAGTATCTTCTTTAAATGTAATTACTCTCGAGATCTGACATTGATCAATTATCTAAATGAGTAATGATATCAGAAAGATCTGACTGATCTATAAAATTTGTTTTGAAAAGTTTTTAAAATTTCTAATATCTATAAAATTCAATTCCAAAATTTGTATAATCTATGTATAAATCTATGACACATATCTTGTTTTCCATAATTTTCTCTCTCTACAATCGAAATAATTAATTTAATCCGGTCATTGTGACACACATGTTTCGAGAGGTCAGAATTATCGTGAATCAGTTCCGTGGCGCATTGCTATTTGCTCGAGTTCTCCCCGAAGGGACAGCCGTTCGTTCTATCTGATGATTCCATGAATTCATCGGTGTACGTGAATCACACGCAGCATTGTTACCAAATCAACTGACACTATATGGATTGCATTTCATGACATCGCCATATGGATGTCGAAATGTATCTTTCTGCATATAACGCATATGGAAGATAGAGAATGATCGTTACATTGTTTAATTAACAATTTTCTTCTTATTAATAAATGTTTAAAATATTTTTTCACACAGAAAACAATTTATGACTTTAAATTAAAATATTAATGATGTTGATTATTACTATACTACAATATTTTAAATATATATATAAATATCGTTCAACTTAAAGAACCTCCAAGTTCACCAAGTTATCCTCCAACTAACTAGAAATCTCAGAAACCTCACCTAACCTACAACTCACACCGTCATCGATCTTGGATCGATCGAACAAACGAGCCGGAACACCCAGAAGCACGCGTGATCACGATTTTTTCGAGTAAGGCTCAGAGCTCGATTCAAAGTCCAAGTCGTAAAATGTCCCCCGCCTTGCGATCAGATATAAGACCACGAAGAGCACGGACTACTGCACTGGCAGCGGAACGAGGCCCGCTTCTTTTTCACCGGCAAATCCTAATTGTATCTCCGTTTACCCGGCGGACACGGATTTACGCGGCAGTTCTCCAAGGCCTTGGTGGCCTTCGTTCGGTTTGCGTGCGGAAATCTTGAGGGTGGTCGAACGACGAAGGTGATTCCGTGATTACAAAGTGCTGCTGGATTTTTGTCTATTCTCTATTAATTTCGCTTACAAGATGTACTGTAACGATATTAGCGTTCTATATGCTTTACTGCAGATCAGTTTCCAATAATCTTTAAATTAAATTCTAGAAGTTAAATTGATATAGAAATAATTTGAAAAATAGAATATAGAATTCATTGTTATGAATTTAAAATTGTTTTGTTGAAAAATATTGGGATAAAGATTATCTTTGATTAGACGTTGGAACCTTCTTGAAAATTAAAAAATATTAAATGTTAATATCGAATTCTTTGTAATATTGTAATTATATTAAAGTAATTTCATCTTTGAGATATATTTTAACAAAATTTTATTCGACCAATGGATCGCATGCGACGAAGTTGAGAGGTCGGTGATTTCCCGAGTAAATTGCGCATTTGCACCACGCATCACGACTCCCCGGGGCATATGATTGCGCACGCGCGGATCGTGGAATTTCCGTAGACTCGCGGCGTCTAAACCGATACTATACGCGTCTCTATGGACACGTTACATCGCTATCTTAATAAAGCGCAGATATACGGTAATCTTTTCAAGTTATACGCCAGCACGAAACAAACATTAAAGAATATAGTAGCTGGCATCAATTTATAGTCCTAGTTCGGGATCGATCGAATCCGATATTAATAATGTACGCAGAAAATAATTCTAGTCGAAGATTCTAGATTTCGTTAATCCATATACGATATATAATATATCTTGTATATATCTTAGCCGCTTTTAACCTCTCTGGGTGTAAATGCATGATGTTTTAATGAGATTAAAGAATTTAAAAAAAAAAAAAATTAATATATATATATTTATTCTGTTCAATAATTACGAAATTAAAATTTTTGTCAAATAATTTGTTGTATAATCGATCAAATCATTCACTATTGATAGTACTATTGATAATGTATATATTCTTTTCATGTGAACTGATTCGAAATGGCAGCATGTAAAACTGGCAATCGCGAAATATCAAATGAAGACGGCTTAACACGTTACGTGAACCATTAACGTTGCATGACAGGAGCCGATTACATTTTGTGTTACGCGTGTTTTGGCGTAATTGACGCACGGCAACAATATAGTCCTTATTATGACAATTACAAGCGATGCTTGATTTCACAGCATGGCTTCCTTGTAATTGGATTTGTTGGCTGTGAATCCTCGGTTACTGCTTCACTCTTGTAATAATATTCTTTGAATCTATTCTTAGATCGAATGATGTAACGAAGAGAAATCTTAAGTTTTGTATATTATTTTTGCAATAATATTTATTGTTATTGTCATCAAAGTAAAGTTAGATAGGATTCACCTATACATAATCGCTGAAAATTCTGTTACTATGACACATGCTTTAATTGCACCTAACGTTCTAATGACTATCATAATACAATGCAATGCAACTTGTTCAATAAGCTTTTGCCAAGATAATTTATCGATTCGCCCACGTAAGCCGGGATTCCATTAGTAACTTATTATTAGCAGTCTAGATGCTAGAATCGAGTGCAAGAAATCACATCACCGACGACAACGCCACCAACGATGACAATAACGACACATCGATCAAAATGGCGACACGTTCGCGTGCGTTTCAAAACATTAGTTTCATAATAAAGTCATTAAGACAGAGTATTTACCGAGTAGAAGTTTGTTTGTTGTTGAGAAATATTTAAGTTATAAGATCTTCGTTCCATAAACTAAAGGAGGAATTATACCTATTTCATATATATAGAGCATATAAAGAGCAGAGAAATATTTATATATTTATATAAATATTATATAAATATATATATTATTTATTTTAATCAATTACAAAAAAGAAAAAAATATTTCATTTCGAAGCATAAAATCAAATTGTAATTCAAAAGCATCATCTAAAAATAATTCTTGTTGGCAATTTTCCATTGTCAACATTCCAAACGTTTCACATTATGACATCAGGCTATACAAATTACTATAGAACTATCAAGAAAAACAGGCGTTAATAATCCAACAGTGGACCGACATATCCGTGACGCAGACGAAGTGCAAAAGCTAGCCTACTCAATGCGATTACGTAACGAAAATGATCCTTTCCCAGACAGTGCTATAACGTGCAACATTTCACTGTCCTAATCCCACGAGGTATTAAAACCTGATATTCGATTGAATTCATGTAATGATCTATTCGATGATTCTACTATATTAAAAATATAATTCTCACTCATAATCATAATTAATATATTATTATTATATTATATATATATATTGCTTGTATTAACCTCAATTTTAATAATATATATGTATGTATGTATAATTATAAAATCTGAAATATTAACAATATAGATAACGAGTTAACTCGACTTTCTCAATCAACAGAGATAAGTTAGATAAAAATTATTAAATTAAAAATCAGCAAATATTCATCCTGTATACCACAATCATAATGTTCCAGGCAATCAGCTTGCATTCTCCTGTGAACGAATCATCGCGAGAAACTGGTAGCACACAGCGTGATTGCATGTTGAAACGCGATGCTTAATTTTATAACGCCGGGCAATGAGTCCGCATTCCATGAAGAGAATTTCCCTATAGGACACCGCCTTGATATCGATTCGTGTCCCCCACAGTTCTTATCGTCGGTACTTTGAAGTTTACGACCGCTGACGAGATTTTTGTCTCGGATAGGTTAATAAAAGTATCCTGTTCCGTATAATCTTTGAGGTAATATTACGGAAGCGCTATATACGTTCCTCACAATGTTGCATGAAAAATCGTGGCATTGGATTTTTGCCGTCAAGTGCAATGTTGTTCACAGGTGGAGTTTCATACAACGATTTAATCCCTATGTACACTCGTCTCTATCAGAAGAGTTTAAAGATAGACGCATGCAATATGATTTCCGTTTTACTTCCTTGTTATCTTATATTTTCCTTTCTACCACTGGTATCTTGCTACTAATGATTTCATATCATTTCTGTTTCCTCTCTTTTCTAATTATCACTGATACTCTGCAAATAAAAATATTAACTCGTAATATAGGAAAATTAAATGCTTCGTGAATCATAACTTTTATCATATTAATGATATTATAAAATTAAACGCTAAATGAAAATTATACAATTACTTATGTTAAAAAAGAATTTTATTCTTATATTATTTAAAATATGTTAATTTTAAATTCTCGAAAAGTTCTTCAATTTGCATTGTTAACTTAACCTTAAAAACTCGTTCCAATAATCCGCTTTTCGCATAATTCCAATGAGTTCTATCTACTCGAACAAAGTAGATAAAAGAGCTTGGCGATGATCTAGTCGAGTATCGCTAAATTGACGCTGATTCGCAGTAAATTACACGGTCGGTTGCGCACCAGTGTCTCCGAAATCGTGACCGTAACCGTGGAGAGACCGTGCCGCGATAAGAGTGCGGCTACGACTAATGGCGAGTACGAGAGATCCTCACTGCGTGCGTATCATGTTATTAATCGTTGGCACTTTCAGCTCGGCTGCTCGAAGCAGCGATCCGTGCGGACAAAAGGAACAGGAATATCGTAGCCTTGTGGTGCACCGGGTGAACTCTCCTTCGTCTTCGATTTTAATTAATCCTTTTCCGTTGAGGTTATGTTCGATATTTCACTTGAATTATCTATACGTATAATATCCAATTCTCGAAAACATTTTGTAATTCTGTTTTAATCAAAATCAAAATTTCAATCAAATCGCAATGTTAAAAATATACGTAAATTGAAATGGATGTATTATTATATATTATTGATATATTGAAGAATGAAAAATAGTGGAACGGTGAACATAACCATTGAACTGAATCGAATCGTGTCCTTAAGATCAATTGACGATCCAGAGAAAGTGTTTCGAATAGAATGACTCTTGAAGAGTACCGGTTCTCCCTCACTATTTTATCCGCGCTCGGCCGAGCACTGATGCAACGCCTACACAAATTTGCTGTGGGTGGTCGGATTTTCCAAATCCACTTTTTCCAAATAGTTGTTCATCACCTGTTCTTAATAGATATTTCTGTAAAAGATATTATTTTATGAATCGTGATAGTATATTTTTGAAAGTTTGGATAAAAAGTATAAGAATAGCAGAATGTTTAAACAAGTATGAATATCATTTAATTATAATTCGTATAGAAGATAATTTGACGAGTATTTTTTTCTTCTAGTTATAAAAGACCATCCCTTTTCCATTAATCCTATAACAATAACTTTCAATAATTAATAAATAAGTGTTGCTTTTAACATAAAGATATATATTTTAAGAAATATGAGAACGCGAAGACAGTTATAAAAATAAATCAATAGTATTATACGTACAATAAAGATATAATCATGTAAACGTCGATTGGAATACCATCAATTCCATAAATTCCACGATTTAAATCGTTTCCAGTTCAAGCATATCAAGGCATATTACGAATTTCCAATGCTCGTGCAACAGTTTCATACGGTCCATTGCTTTTCCTAATCAAGATGTGATCGATAAGAAAACTCAGCGGTATTCCTAGACCGCTCGACTACACCTCAGTCATTAACCCCGATCGTATAACCTGAAATCTCCATCGTGTGTTGAAAAAATCGCGCGCATGTCCTGGTGAGTTCCTCTTCTCCGTCTCTCCATTTATTAATGCTCATATGGATATCGAGAAAATATCGGGCGTATCGAATAACTCTCAAATAGAGGGAAAACCGGACGCGGACCGTTCCACCGTTCATAAGAAAATCATGTTCGTTACAGGTGTTCGATCGTGTTCCGCCGCGTAATCCGCTCATACGATCTTATCGCGGTGAAATTAACCTACGAGACCCGACGCTGCCCAGTCCACGTGACATCACGGCATACCGCGAGTGCATCCATCGTGACGGAGGAGAGGACATCGAATAACGCGCGTTTTCAAAGAGGTCGACTGGGGCCACTCCTCGATAATTGCCGACTTTGTAACGGGCTCGAGCAGCCGCAATCCTCCTTGACTGCAGCACTACCCGACCGTGATGTTCTATTTGGAAATGTGATTGCAGGTGATCAGTTGATGAGATTCCTAGTTAGATATGTGCTACGCTTTGTATTTCTGTATTGTAGAAATCATGTTAAATATTTTATGACGGCGTGGATTTAATATATATGAAATATCTATTAATATTCCAAACTTAACCTAAAATTTTCAATTATAAATTAATTTCTTTTCGTATAGCACGATTCGTATAAATTCGTAATAGAACAAAATGTTCCTACCTACCTAAATATCTCTCAGCCATGCTACAGGATTCGATGCGTTGAGCAGGTCCAACCAAGCAGACGATTAATTTGTCATTCTCGGCCGTGTAACATTCGTGTTCCTCGAGCCGCTTGGCACGACCGAGTGATATTATACGCGTGCGCCAACGATTCCTCATATTACGCGGTCAAACCATCCGCTATTAATATCGAAATGATTCTCGAGGCGGCGCGCCGGAGGGGTGCGCACGGACCCCACGTTGAGAAACGCCGTGATTAAATGGCCATTTTTTCTCGCAATGATAAAGGACGCCCGGCTCGATTACATTAAAAGCAATAGGACCATCACTGGCCCAGCAATCCACTACTCGAACAGGATCGCCCATCTTCGCGATTCTCTTTTCTTTAGACGATCTTTTTCTTCTTCGTCTTTCTCCTATCCGTGTCGGTTGCTTTGCTCGTTTTTCCTCTTCTCTCAATCTCTCAATATTTTCTGACTATGACGGCTAATGTTGTACGAGCCACGAATAGCTCGTTAGTCAATTAGCCACTTGCTCGCTTTCGTTCAAACATCTGTTTCTCCTGAAAGCCGACGTGCAACTGTGAATCAAGCCATATATTTTTTGAAAGTTTGCTTTTTAAGAGCTTAATAATGATAGAATGACAATAACGATAAATGGATTTGGTGTTTCTCCAACTTTGTTGCTTTTAGGTTATGCACACTTATGATGGTAGAAGGTTAGATAAATTGATGCAAGAGTAATTCTATGATTTAAGAAATGTATATAAATTTTCTAGTATGAGGATATTACGAGAACAGGGAACATTGAGGGAAATCGTGGAGAAATTCCGTGCACTGAGATTCCGGGCCGTGCGTGCAGCTACGCTTGGTATTTTGCACATTCCAACCGCAAGGACTTTGATCCAGCCCTTCCTCATTTTTCCATCTAATACAAATTGCCATCTGTTCACAACCTGACTCCGACTTCCATCTCGTAAACTTTCTCTGTTATCTTCTTAAGCAAAAAATAAAACATTATTTGGAAAATATTTATCGTACATATTTTTATCATTTAAATATCTTATACCAATGCTTCTGTTGCAACAGAGAATTACGATTCAACATAAATTTATTTCAATCATAATCTATTCTATTCCCAAACCTTCTCTATTTCCTTGAACCATTTTCATTTGCAATACCGCTTTCGAATCAATCATCTCCAACACAAAACCACACAAAAATTTCACGGAGATTGACAATTTTCAAAGTGTATCCACAAAAAATGCGATGATCACAGCCGATTCGCAACGAGACGCAGTTTACTTATTGCTAGTAGTCTAGAAAAGAACCGAAACGGTTATTAGTAAGAAATTACCGACTAGTCTATTACGATCCACGAAGTGTCGCGTCAATCGCGTGAGAGAACGTCGCTTGCTCGATATGCTCCTCCTGCACAGCAGCGCGAGAAGGAGAAATAAGCGATTCGTTCCTAACTATTAATCTACGCGTGCGCGGTTTCACAGGTTTCAGCCGCACGATACCAATCATTACCAGTCTGGTGACGACATTATGAACCGAAACTAAATCAGCGAACGAGAGTAGTAATTTCTTTCACATACTGTATGTTTTTGATTTGCAAGAAAAACTGTTCTTACTTTCATATCGAAAACAATATTCATTTGATTAAGAATTTATAAAATTGAAGAGGTTAGTTTATATTATTGAAGAGATTTTTTCATGCTTGAAATGAAAATAATTATTAGACTTTCGAAATATTTAATTATTTAAAATGAGAGAATGAAGAGGTACTAATTACATTTTCAATCCTTTTGATTGATACAGTAAAGTTTCAAAAATTGGAAATTTTTCAGCTAATTTTATTCACAAATCACGTACTTGAATTAGCCATCAACAATTAGATCTTATTTATCACAAGTAATCCGTAGTATAGTAATCCGATAAGTGTTTCGAGCAAACGTACAAGCTAGATTCGTGTTATCAAAGTGTACTAACCATTTACTGTTGTCAAAGCCGATTGCAGTGCCAATACTTACGACCGGTATAAGAGGACCGGTGCCATTCCGAGATAATCCTCTTACTGGTGGTCCACGAGCGAAACACGGAAACAGTTCTCAGCAGTATCATTCCACGAGAAAAAAGTTCACAGATTAGTCGTAATACTTGGATACAACTTTAAACAGCCTGACACGTCTCGTTATGCTGCTCTATGAAGAAATTATTAAGCTGAAGACGCAGAACGTAGATCTGAAATAAAATACATGTATTCTATTATATATTCTGCACATTTTTATTATAAATTTTGTGAAAAGTTACCTGGTAATAATAATATTTTTCGAATATGTTGAATGTTTTTTTGAAAATTAATTTTTATCGTTTTTAATCGATAAAAAAAATATACTATGTATTATAGAAGGACAATTTTGGTTGAAATAACGTATCCATTAACACAACCCTCTTGTTCCTTCATCCTCACCGACATCTTTATCGATCACGGATAAACCGCAATGGACGAACAATAAACGCTCTTACAAATGAATCTCGACCACGCACTCAACGATAAACGTACTCCACCCCCACGCAGTTACAAGATTTATATTCCATTAGAACCTTTTCTCCTTTTCCTCTGTTCTCCGCCGTATAGTATATACACATCGACCTTTGGAACTTTATTTATCCACTCGCCGTGCCAGACGATACCTCATTACCGCTTAATTACCGGAGTGAGTGTCTCGCGACCAACAATATAGATGCTGTAGCTACTATATTCTATCGAAGTTAAACATAATTACATGAATTCTAGCTTGTTAATAAATATTCGTCCATATTTTTATAACGATTTGTAAAAGGAAAATTTAAAAAAATATTAGATTTAATAAAAAAGAAAATATAAAAATAATATTTTTGGTGTGTATTATAGTGTTAATTATAATATTAGATTTAAATCGAAGAATATACTAAATTACTTTTTTTTCATTCATTCAAATTTTAATAAGAGTTTCAATAATATTGTATGATGAGAAATTTTCCTATCAGTAAAAAATTTTCATTATAGGTACATCTACATTTTATGCTGAATTCCGATTAATGAGATTTTATTCATTACCCTAATTCTTCTATATTATAGATCATTTTCTGGTTCATTCTTCGTGTTATTTTCTTATGTACAAAAATTATAAAATTCTATTAAATCTCCATTAAAAAATTCAATCATAAAATAATATATATTTTTTTTATTCATATAATTTTTTCATAACTACGTAGTATTTTTTATCAAAAAAAAATAATCAATTAAGGTATTTGAATAGAGCGCCAGTGTCGCCCAATCAAGACACTTCACATAAAATATAAATAATGAATTGCATTTAATTATACATTAATAACAAGACTGCGGAAAGAGTAACCGTTAAAGAGTAACTCACGTATTACTTTATACAATATACAAAAACCAGTCATTTGTAATTTCTAAAAAACAAATTAATAGCTATCATCATAAACGGAACTATAAATATTAAGACTTCCTTTCTGCATGCGCGCCATCAACGGATATTTGTATAATTAATCGAATCACAATCCACAATCGTCGCTTGCTAATCTTTTCAGTAGTCTAATAGTCTATGGAAGACTTATACAATGTCTAATCTACGAGATCTTACGCGTGTGAACTTCTGTTACGCCCAACGGTTCATGTTTAGGAAGGCTATAACAAAAAATATTCATCGGTTCTGCGTCGATGGTTCGAATAATTAAACGATCGAAACTGACGCGACGTTTAACAATCAAGAGAACGCGGAACCATAAATGTACATTGATAAAATGCATTTGGATTACGCGAAATAAAAATAGTTTTAAGATTATGTGATTGCTTACTATTGAATATTTTTTTATTTACACATTGAACAGAAAAATAAAAGTGACACCTTGTATATACGAGCATAATCTTTCTTTAATATTATTCTTTTTGGTTAGAAATGGAGAAGAAATATGGATAACAATGATGATGAATGAAAATTGTTTGTATTACATGATATTATAATATATTATTAATAAGTTTTAGATAAATATATTTTGTTTATATTATTGAACTGAATTTATTCTAGGATTTGTAAATTAGTGAACATTTCTAATGCTTAAGGGAACAAAAGAGTAGACGATCGGTATTCTAACATGGTACGTCGCGAACGTTGTCGCTGTTATCTTTGCGAGGCTCGATCGTTTCTCACTGCTTAAGTATATGCTCATTGGCGTAAAGAGCATTGCCTATGCAATCTGGGATGTTAATCGGGCAACATTGGCTTGTATTACGGTACAAAGTAATGTTGTAATATACTATGAACCGGTAGTGGATTAGTTTGGACTTTCAATAAAAATTCAACCGCGATCGAGATTGTTTAGTAAATGTTTTATGTATAAATTAATCTTTATATGAAAATAATATATTTTGAAAAAGAGACTTGCAATTTTCAGATCAAGAATTTTATAGATATTAAATTTTAAACATTTATCTATTTTTAAAAATAGTAGCTTGTCAATATTGACAATAAAATTCATATTTTTTCCAAATATTTTCATCATCTTTAATTCATGAATATTCTATCTCAGATAAAATTTCCAGAGGACTATATTCAAGGATTCGCGAATAGCGGCTTGTAATAAATAATTACCGAAGCAAGACAACTGAGCATATTTTTTTTCACGCGATTTTAACAACGCCCATAGGTGTCGGAGAGGGAATGGTTAATCATAGTGCGCCGTAGGTAATGATTCACGGTAAATTCTTTGACCTAGCTTATTACTTTAATTAGGAACGCTGGAACAGCCGAGGAGTAGGGCGTAACGCGTGACAAGCAAGGAATGAAAAATTTTAATCACGTTTGTTATTAACGTTAATAAATTGGTCCGCGGCATGGTAGCAACGCGATCTCTCGGCCGCGTCGTTTTACGCGTCTTTTGTTACCGACGTGCTGTGACCGGGAGAAAAAACGGTATTCTTTAATTATGTTAATATCGTTAATTTGAAAAACATTTTAAATCTTAAAATTTTATTGATAATTACTAAGTCGGAATGAAAAATTAAGTTAATAGAATACATAACCTATATCATTTCCAATGATAGAGATAACTTATGTTTTTCTTATCAATCTTATCAATCGATGATGAAAGATAATTGTATCTATATATGTATGATAAACGTCCTTGTCCCTTTATGTAAATTTATTCTGTATAATAAGGAAAAAACATACATCCATTCATCATTTGAAATCTTGACAGAGATTATTTTCTTTTATTAAAGTTTTATCCAAGAAGAAATAAATAACTTAATATATCAAATATATCATGTATCTTTCGAAATTTTAATTCTTAATGGATATTTTATTTGACATTTGCATGCAACATAACTTTGTTAAACTAGATAGAAATTTATAACAAACTCACCAAAGAAATAACGATAACCTCAGAAGATTATCGTCATTTACATAACTGTAATTCCTTCGAGCTATTGACCACTCGCCATAAACGATAGAGTCGCCACCATTGACATGTTTCAACAAACGTGTGAACATAGGGTGCTGGTTAGTGACGTAGCTCGCGCTTCTAGCAATCCCAGCATACCGTGCTCTCTCCTCTCGGCCGTCTCCATGAATATTCATCGCTTTTCCGGCCGTCACTTGATGCGCGAGCGTGCGTTGCTCCCAATTTGTCACACACCGTGGCATTATCCCATTTCGCTAATAAAGTAATATCACGGGGAAACAAGCATGGGCTGATTTACTTTTTTACTTTGTTGCCATGGTTGCGCAATTACGCAACTTGGTAATTGCATGGCACCCTATCTGTCAGCTATCCGTATCATCGCGTAACGAGATGCGATTTTATTACCAAGTTCCTCTGCATCTGTTTCATCCAACTTAGTTGAAAAAAAATGACGACTTTCTGTTTGTGAATGATGTCTGAAATGATAGAGAAGGAAAGCGATAAACGTGAGACAGGGAGACTATGCATAGTGGGAATATGTTCTTTATACATAGAATGTATATTTAATCTCGAATTATTTAATATAATGCATTGATAACGAAAGAAAATAGTCTATTCGCGCGTTTTTTGTGTGTTGCAGGACGAGCGAGACTTGTAGTTCGACGGATCAACGACAGGGGGAGGGCGAGATAGTCGACGTTAGTAAGGTAAGTCTTGATCGATTATCATGGATTGTTATCATAGATTATGAAGCTTGATTTTTCTTTAAGAAATCTCATGTAATTATATATACATTTAATGTGTTCTTTTTTTTTTAAGTTTTCTTTGTTCTCAAGGAACTTGTTGAATTAAACTATTTCGATAACATGTAATTAAAATAATGTGATACGCGATGCTAATTGGATTTTTTTAATGATCATATCTTTTCGTTTGCTAGGTTTTTATTACGTTGTATACGTATACATAGAAGTGAATTTGAATGTTACATTCGAGATATTTATAAGAGGGATTCTATTGTGTTTATAAAATAAATGCTCAATAATCAAAATGGTACAATAATAATAAAAAAATAAAATCTCTTAAAAATTTTAAAAGAGAAATGATATATTTTTTCACATATCCATACGATCGCAGATTATGCGAGTCCTGTTGATAATTAGAGTTCTTCTCGGTGGCGGCGCGGCATTCGACTGCTATCATAGATTGGTGTCGAACGATGCCGATAGCCCGCGAGAGGCCGCGTCGTGTCCCCGAACCGGTATGCCGAATCGAAAAAAGTCTCAACAACATCGAGTGCGTGTCGCACGATTCCGAGGACACCGATTTCACGGCAGATACATTAATGCTGGGGCTCTAGCTCGTGCACGTTAGAAGCTGTCGAATAAATTTCCATCGGGACACGCCTCTGGATGCTCGATAATTCACTGCACTTTCTAACTAAGGGAGGGCGAGGGAATCACGGGAAAATTGTCCGCTCTATACGATACCTTCCCATTACATGATTACGTTTACGATGCTCTTACACGATTTACGTTGGTTAATGGCAAAGGACAAGTATAGAAAGGACGTTAATTATACAGGTTAAGATGGATTGGTTAATTTAGCGAGAATTATTAGTAATATTTCTTAGAATTTGTTTTAAGGAAGAAATGAACGGTATAGAGATTGCATTGCATTGTTTTTTTTTTTTTTAAGACTTTATCGTGTACTTTTGAAATGTTCAATCCAATTACTTTTTGTTTCGAATAATTGACTTAATTCAAAGTTATATAAGTCTTAGAAGAGAAATTATTTAAATTATTCGTTAATTCGGATCATCTAATCTTAATTAATAATTAATTTCTTCATTATTTAAAATTAATTTTTTAAATTAATGCAGTTTCCGATTCGTTCTTCAAAATCAGATCTCAATGTTTCGAAGAGAAAAATCGTTTGAAAATCGGGTTTGAAAGCGGTTCGACGAAAGGTGAAACAGTCCCCGTTGCGATCGATCGGCCCGATTACGTAATCGGAGTTTCGAGGTCGGGCCGCAAAGTTCCTCGGTTAAAAGATGCTCCTTTGCCCCGAAGCGCACTTAATCTTATCGCCGGCTAGGCTTTTGTCGGCCGGTTGATGCTTTCTCGAAGCTTTCTTATCGAGCCGCAAGAGGCGCACGATTTTCGCCTCGCTTCCGCTTCGCTGCCTTCGACTCGTATCAGACCATTTCCACTTTTGTCGTAGACCGACCAACCGGTAGAAGACCGAACCGCATCACCGCTTTTAACACAGACGATGTACACGATATCCGCGACAATATTCTTGTCGTTTATCAGTGTACTCTATTAGCGAAGCGGTCGAATGTACTTTACGCTTCGTGATATTTTGCTGGTAGAGATACGTGTTAGGTGGCGTTGTATTGAATGGTAAAAGTGTGTTGGGAAATGTACGTGGTGGGAATCGGTTGATAATGTTTGTAGTTTGAGGTTAGGAAAAATTGATGGCGATGAATAGAAGAAATTTAATTTAATAATTAAGATAAGTAAGATTGTATAAAGTAATGTGATGAATGAAATATATGTAAATTGTAATATTATATGGTGTGCAAATGTATTGGTTATTTAAGATCATTGAAATCTTCTTAATTGCTACGTTTCCTTAGTTGTATCCATTACACTATTTATATGGATGTTTGATTGATTACAACGAACTTGGTGAAAATGAATAACACATTGCTGGAAACAAGTTTCCTTAATGTCTATATCAACTAGAAATTCAAGTCTGGAATCGTAATTCCTTGTGGTAAATGACTTTTAATCAATATTTATACCGAGAAACGAGGAAACGTAGAAAGAAAGAGAAAGAACAAAAAGTTGTATTTCATTGGATGCCTTATATTTTCAAGAATTCAACTCTAATTTGCATTTTAACATTTTTTCAATAATTTAATATTAAATGGCCTACCATAAATCATATAAAATCTATATTTAACATTTACTATTTATTTGATATATATAATTTATAAAAACCAATTGTGACATTATTAATATACTAATAAAAAAACTTGACAAAATAATTCACAACTTTTTTATCGAAAAAAGAAGAAACACTATAGATAATAAAAACTCAACATTTCTATTTTTATTATCCTAAATTTTGCAAGCCACAAGAATGATAATAATCTCTGTCAATAAAAACAATAAACATAACATCTACCATCAAAATCTCTAAAAAAAAAAAAGATCATGACCAAAAAGATGCGTGTCCCAACGAGGCCAGTTAGGTCGGGAATTCACGAATCCAGGAAACACGTTAACTGGAACGTCGCCGTTCCGGCGATGCATCGCGGTTCACTGGCATTGTTGCGGACGAACGAAACGGAATCTAATCTGATGCCGCGGCGGGTCCACCTAATGGGCAAGCCGTGTCGGGACACGCACCTCTGCTCTCCTCGCTCGTGTCCCCGACCGAGAAAGCTAAAGTCGTGTTTGCCCTGTCCGATGACGATATCACCCTGACGCAATCGCCATACGTAATGCACCTCTTTTTCTGTGTGACTGGGTAAAACGATGCAACGGCAGATCACGGAACCACGCGTAAGCTAACTTCTGTTTCCTCTGATGAAACTTGATGAACTTCGAAAATTTTGAGAACTTCCTGAAATAATTTTGAAATTTATTTAAATTTATATCTTTTTCGAATAGATATTTGAATAATATTGTTTTAATGGTGTTTTTTAAATTGACTTTTGCTCAGCCTTTTCATTAGATGATGTTATTGCTTTATTAGGAAATATACCTGTATAATATTGCTCATTTAAATATCCAAATTATCTCTATTAATTCTTGAAAATGGAATGAACTTCGAGTATGTCAAATGAATCTTGATACCAACCATTAGTTGTTTCAACACATGTCAATGCATCATAAATATTGTTATTTTACTCACATTTATTTTCTTTTTTGTTTCAATTGAATTTTCAGAAATTACTTAAGCCATAATTTATATTTCTGACTATATTATGATTATGGATGTGCAAAATGTTTCAAGAATAAATATGTCTTGAAAAGTATCAAAAAACATTTGATGCAAAACTTGAAGGATTCAGTCATCTTTAATTCAACCAAATACGAACGAATGCAAATTGAATCGGTCTTTTCTCGTTCTCCCCGATCCAACTCGTAACGTTGTCACTGGCAATTCCCAGCAACGCTTTCCACTCGTAACGGAATTCTCTCGTACAAACAGCGCAGCGTACGACGCGCGCGCCATTTGTCCCGGCCATAGCCGGCGCGACGGAATCTACACTCGTTAAGCGAATAAATCCAATTGGAAAGCCGGCCTTTTTGCCGATAGCGCGACGCGCAATGCGTCTTAGCGACACTGGACCAAGCCATGTCCTCGCCGACGCCGACATCCACTACATACATGGCACCGATACTGACGAGGTGAAAAAAGGTGTCTCATACCATCTCGTAACTACGTAACGATTCACCTCGATTGAAATTTCATGTGTTTGTAATCGCACGTGGAGATTGCTATCTATATTTTCTCTTGTTTTCTTCGTCTGTTCAGCTTTATTCATAAGATTTTTTTTTAATAAAAGTAATAGATAGACAATAGATAACAAAGATCTTGAACAATGGAATTTAGAAATTTTTATAAATGGTAAAGATCTATTTATCAATATGATTTCATCGTTTATAAATTAATCGCATCAATAACAACAACTTTATGCCACTAACCTTCGTTTCCACGAATCCTGAACTAAGAAAGCATGGAATACCGCATCAACACCAAATTAGTGGTGACGACTTCGATTCATGCCAGACTATGTATCGAGAAAGAAGGTATCGATAGTCCCTTTTAAAGATGGAAACCGAGCGTGGCAAGGGAAGCAGAATCAAGAGAAGAAGAAACGAAGTTGCACGCGAGGGCTCTTGGTGGCCGCTTGTCAGCGCTATCTGCTTCGACTGGCGCACGTTTCCAACCTCTTCTCCTCGTTTCTCGTTTGGGATTCTTTCAGCAGTGAGAATAGCCCGCGCGCGTGCGCATCCGTGTCTTTCGTGTGATGTATATCGACTGGTTGGCGACAATCATCGCCACAGACGCGCTCTCACGGAGCCAATTACAAGTATAGAGGCCGCCACAGTGCGGCAGATCATTGCGATTTATTTTCTTGTCTACCTCCTTTCTCTCTTCCTCGGATTTCCGTTTCTCAGATCGGTAGCCCTCGATTCCGGGTATATACTGTGTTTCTCTTGGGTGTTGGTACAAGCTGCCGTCTCTTGTGGAAGGGAGGGAATTGCTCTTAAGTCTCTGGACAGTCTTTCGTGGAGTAAAGCTGGGATCACAACGCAAACGACTCGTAAAGTTCGAAATACTCCGTAACGTTGCAATAAAACCACGGTCTGATTAGTTCAGGAACCTTAGAGTGGCAGTAACACGTCAGTCTCGTTCCCATTTACGGAAAAAACGTTTCTCTTCTCATCGCGTGACCTGGCTATTCTTTCTGCGATCCTCGTTGCGCATGCACGCATTGCGTACGCGCGCGAGCACGTGTTCTTTTTTCCTTTCCTCTTCCGTGTAGTTCTAACGTTCATGGTTTCTTTAATCGGAGATAATTGAAACATGCTTCTAGTCGAATTTTTACGACACGTCCAATTATTTTTTTCTCATAATTTTTATGATCATATATTTTTGAAATATCATAACTTTCTTCTATTATAAATTCTAAATATATATTAGTGAATGAAATATCAAAAAATAATATATTTTAAATTTTTATTTCGTATGATGTTACAGTTATATTCAAGAAGAATTTAATTTAAAGTTATAAGAAAAATAAAAAAGAATCTTTTGTTGAACAAATAAAAAAACATCTATATTTTTACTGAAAACAATTACAATGTAGACTAATAATAAGAAAAAGAAAAGAAAGTTTTGAAAACGTGATCTTCTTCGTGGATGCAGTTTCACGATGGCTAAACAGAGAAATTTGTTGCGTTTCTCAAACCGATCTTCGTCTGGACGGCAGAAGCGAGCGTTCGCGAAGTAAATTGTCCGTGGAGCGATTAAATGAATAATTCATTTCTAAATTTCATCAGTTACACCAGGTTCGTCGTACTCTTTCAGAGAACGCGTACACCGCGGGAACAGGCGAAACAGATGGAAAGCATCGCGTTGCTTCGCGTCGTTTCGCCATCATGTATCATTTAGCTTCACGGACACGGTAGAAGACGTGCGTTAACGTGCCTCTGCACGCGACATCTATAATTTTATGGTATTAAGAAAATTGCAATTAAATCGTAGATAATAACGAACGCTGGAATATATTTATTAATTTTTTTATTAATAAGGATATTGTTCGCTATTCTGCGTTTTTTAATTAAAATTTGAGATATTTGTAAAAAATATATGAGCTATAGAAATCAGAACTAAATTTTTTATATTTAATAAAGAAAATTGAAAATAAAAAAATGAAATTTTATTGTTTAATGTTATAATTACGATAATTAAATTATAGAGGGCAGTACTTTTTTAAGAAGAAAAATTTTCTAGTATATCGATAAATATTGTCAATTATTATATTATATATTAGATTCTTCAGTATTTTTATTAATAAAAATATATTTTGTTTTTTTTATTGTAAAATATATATTCTAACATCATCTTTTTGTCAACTTTAAATGTTTATAAAAATAGAAATATAATATTTATTCAAAACGAATTGAACTATCATATTCGCCAAGTCCGATTGGAAATTTGTGTTGGATTTTAAGATGGCATTTCTTCACACATGGTGAAATGATTTTTCGCGGGTGAATGCGGGGAAATCGTTAACTCGAGATTCGCGTGCAACCAAAGCGACATTAAGTTTGCAGAGTTCGTCAGTTCGTGCATCTTGATTATCAGAGGCATGCTTGCTCTCGCGAACTCTCATCCTCGATAACGTATCATACATAATAATCTTGATTAAGATTCAAAGATTTTTTTATTTATTTATTTATCTACTGGTTAAATATATAACAGTTAGCAGAATTATCTTTAATTTTGACTAACTTTTTAAAACTTAAAACTGAAGTTGAGATAATTATCAATTTTTGAAAAACCTATTTTCTCAGATAATTATCGTGATAAACAAATAAACAAGCATTGCTTTTTCTGAACATTGTAATAAACAAGATATTATACTTATTTAAATAATATTGTTAGTAATTAACTATTTAGATTAAGATTCTAACTATCAAATATAAATATTAACTTAACAAACTTAAGCAACTTAAGAAATTGTTAGAGGAAATAAAGACAGATGGCGTTGGCATCATCGATCGATATACCGTTTGATAATTTACAACTTTGCTACTTTACCACTAAAAAGATTTACACGTGGTGTCCCATGAAAAAACGTGATCTTCTTAGCGTGTGCTATATCGATGCAACCCTCTCGAGGAGGACGAGCTAAGCGTGCAAAGGAAGAAAAGGAGAGTCAGCTTATCCACGCAAAGAGATCGTATCGAGCTAGCTGTCTCTGCTCCGGTGTGCTTACTCTGCGCTTACCACTCCGTCTAGCTCCGAGGTATTTGATATTGACTTGCTCGAGCCTCGACTCTGAACTCCCGGGCCACTGTTGGGGAGGAGGGTGGAAGAGGATAGGAGTCACCCCCTCCAGCCTTGGAGCGTTTAATTAAAAAGCTCTCTCTCTCTGTGGAGAAGGTTGGGTCCCGTAGACTTGTAGCCACGATACGTGGCGGCCCGATAGTCGACATCGCATATAGGTGATACCGGAAGCTCTGCTACCGAGCTAAGTACACATGAGCCCGCCTCTCACAAAGGAAATGGAATCCTTTACTTTTCGGATGAAATTAACTCGAAACATTTTACGAACGAAACGGAATGCTCTGATTATTTTAAGCTCGTCCACGAGTATTCGAGGATAACCGTGTGTCTGAGATTGGTATCGATGTAAAGAAATCGATGTAGTAGGAGAATGATTAAAATACATTGTAAGCTAATCAAACTATCCAATTCAGACTTGCTCAACGATAAATAAAAATAATTGCTCAACATATGCGTATGAAAAATTGTTCGTCAAATGTTAATCGTTGATCGTGTTTAAAAAAAAATCCTACGTGTCGATTCGTCGTTATGTTCGGCCGGTCGAAAACATGATATACGAAAGCTTGGCGAAACGGAGGGATGATAAAGAGGGGAATGGGGAGTTGTTTCGTTTGGCCTCATCGCGGGAAACGCAACGCTGGCAACGCTTTTCCAGCGATAACAATTATCCACGAGAGACTTCATTACCCATTCGCCGCGAGGCGGCTTCTATTCTTTATTTATGGACAAGCTCATTATTTCTGTGCAAGTAAGCATATGAAAAATTTTCTCTCTCCCCCATGCTGCCACCCCTTGGTTACTCGGTTTCTCCGCCTCTTTTGATTTCTCCTTCTGCGTTCCATCCTCGTTCGGACCTCCTACTCTCACAGATTCTCGCCACAAACTCTCGTGCAACCGACGAGTCCACGGTTTTTATTAAATTAGCTGCCTCGAGCTGGATGAAAAGTCCTGCGGTTGTTGGTGGCGCGCGAGTCGTTTTACTTCTGCATCGATGCCATTTATATGTGTTCATATATAGAACCGTGTTGATCGCATATCGAGGTTATGTTTCGAAGAAATTTTGGATATGCTTCGTCGATTTAGATTAGTTTTTGAGAAAACAATTTTTACTAAAAATCCTAGAAATCTTAATTTCTCTAAACAATCGATAATCACTTTAATCCAGAATTTTAAGCAGTATATTCAAATTCTGATTAGCAACAAGTCAACCCTATCACGTAAATGTTTGTTCTATCAATAATTACCAAATGTGTAATCTGTAGTTCGTAATTTAATGGTTCATTGAATCTACGTTAACACGTTCATGCATCATTTATTACACGTGACCTATTTGTTTCCCTGATTATTATTCAACAATTTATTTTTAATTACAATTAACTTGCTCTATAATAGTAAAAAAAAAACTATATAGAAAAAGCCAAAAATCTATATTTTTATAAAACTATCCATAAAGATCAAAGAATTCAGAAAAATGGAAAAAAATTTCGAAAAAAACTAAAGAATCCAATTGCGATCTGACACAAGGATTCTAAAAGGATCAAGAAGTTTAGAAAACTAAAGATCCTTTAAGAAATCATTCATAGTTTGGAAGAGATTCTTGGAAAAAGATCAAGAAAATTAAGATTCTCAAGAAATCATTCACAACCTCAAACCAAAAATTTCAAGAAATTCAAAAAATTAGAAAAAATTTCCAGAAAGTTAAAGAACTCCCAAGGGAACGAAGATTCCAAGAAAACCCAACGACTCAAGGTGACTCGAGGGTGATATCGTCCCAAGAACAAACCACGATCCCATCCACACGTGAATTCCACACGATCCATGGTCGGTCGGGAGTTACGCGAGCGGTTCCTGTGCAGGGTGCACCACGGTACTTCCGGTACAGAAGAGTGTGGGACGCGCGCGAGATCCGTGGAACGATCGCGGTCCGCCTTCGTCCACGATCGGAGAGGGGGGGGGGGAGAGAGCACGGCGACGAATCGCGATAAACGGCGTGGCAGCACTTATAAATGACCGGTAAATATTCATGTCGAGGCTGCGTCCGCCGGTGTTATGCAGATGAGAGGTGGCGTGGCCGTATGCAATGCGCGTATTACGGCTGTCCTCGCTTCCACGGAAGCGGCGCGCTCATCTTTCCCGTATCTACGATCGGCCGTCACGACACGCGCGTCTCTGTCCCTGCCCTGGATATTTCCCGTGGTGAAATACACAGTACGGATGTGTGTGTGTACGCGGTAGCTGGGTCCCGTGTCCGCTGTCTCGTCGTAGGAATAATTTACTGTGCCGGGAATAATTAAGCGATTAATTAAATCTGTTGGCGCGGCGGGGTGGAGAGGGGTGGATTGGAAGGAAACGGTGATTGATGGGTGAGAGAGTCGAGGCTCCCGAGATTCTTGTCCCGGGAATTTTTGTCCCGGGTTATTTTGCCGGATGACCGATCACTTGCCGTTGCAATCGTGGAGATAATTCGAGGACAAGTCTTTCATTTTGATGAAAATCTTTTTCGATGTAGTGTGTATCAAATTGCTGGATCGTATTCGAGATTTAATAATTAGTGTGTGTAATTAAACTTGAACATTATATTACTCTAAAGATATCATTCATAAAAATTCAGAATAAATATATAAGAAAAATAAAATTTTTTTCGATTCTAAGAATTCTAAATTATGATAATAAAATGGAAAATTAATGGAAAAACTATTCAAATATCGCGCAAATCAAGGGTGTATACGTGACCACGATCCTCTAACCTCAAAGTCGATTGTTCAACACGACGCGAATTTTCGAATAAAGTCGACTGGCGCGCAGATGTATGTGAAAGCATCCAACAATGAAGGGATCGCTTAATTTTGCAGGAACTGGAATCTGGCTCCTCGCTGGCAAAGGGCGAGCCTCCCTTCGACCTCCGCTTCTCCTCTTTCTTTCACAAACTGTTCATAATCCGTCCAAACAAAGGCTGGTTGCAGCAAAAGGCAACAGAGGGCAATACTAAAAGGGAGACGACAGCTTTAAATAAGATTATCAAACGATTAAAAGAATTCCGCGTTTTCTCTCCCTTTTTTTTTCTTTCCAATTCCTCTCCTTTCCTTCTCATTCCCTCTCATATTTACGTATTTTTTTCGATTTTTATCCCTTTCTCTTTCTCGAGTGCATATTTCCTTCCTTTATCCCTCCAGATCTCATTCCTATGCTTTTTTTTTTTTTTTGCCTCCTAAACTCTTCAGTGCCTCAGACTCTCTCCATCTAGCGGTCGTTTTTTTAACATAACCTCTACCACGGTTCCTCGTTCCGCCTTCCTCTATCACTCTCCTTCTTTTTCTGCGTTATTTATCTCTCTCCCGGTCGGTTCGTTCCGCCGCGTTTCTGTCTCTGGCCCATCGTCGGTCACCTCCCGGGCAATTTCGTGCGAAGCACGAACGAACGAACGAACGAACGAACGTGGCGGTGTGGCGTGTGGGTGGACGAGAAAAGAGCACAGAGCGCAACGGCAGGGTAGGGATCGGAAGAGATTAGCCCCAGGAGGCTCCTTTGTGCAGCAATGAAAATGGCTTGTCTCAAAGAACCGCGACGGATACATTTTTAATTACCTCAAATATCACTCGGAGAGCTCGCCCAAGTTTCTTAATTAAATGTCATATTGCGCCCGCGGGCCACGTGATCCTCTTTTCGAAACAGAGAAGACGGTGGGTATACCTATATCTAATAGTGGAGGAGGAAGAAGAAGGAAAGGAGGAAGAAACTTCTCTGACATCGAAGATCTTTTGAGCTGGTTGGTAAATATTAGCTGTATTAATAATGGACTCGATGAAGCGCGACCGAGAAACTCTGATCCGAATTGCTGTGCCAATTTGCATTGTTCTTCGGCGAAGAATAACAAGCTATGGTGGAGAACCTGATTCCTCGGATGACCGATGAACCTTTATTGTATTTCTCCTTTCCTCCCTACTCGATGGGATGGGATGGGAGGATATTATTGATCAGCGACTCGATTCTAGCGTTATACTTATCAAATAGAAATTGTATGATCGCATCAGTAAAACCAGAATTCTCTTGTAATTGAACACGTACTTACTCTGTTGTAATTTCAATTATTTTCTCTTCGTTACATAATTCAATATTTTTCATGTAGTAATCGGTGCAATAGAATTGATTTGATTGAACTGGCAATGCAGTCTAAAATAAAAAATCATTAAATATAAATGCTAGTAACAATTAATACTTTTAATTTTAACTTTGGTATATTTATTATAAATTCGATATTATCATCAAACTTACAAATTTCAAATCAAAAAAAAAAAAAATAAGAACGTTCACACATCTTAAATTTAAGTCTATAAATGCTCTAACAAATCTTTTTTATTACCACTAAAAAACAAAACTACACATCCAAAAGCATCAGTATTCAAGAAGGCGCGAAAAACAAGAGACTATGGCAAATATCTTCCAAAGAACCTAACCTAACCAAACGATTCTCTTTCGCATAATGTAAAATCATCTCGCAATAATCCTAAATAATTTGTCCGTGCGAAACAGAAAACGGCCTCCAATAGAGGGAAGAGATTCTCAGGCCTTGGCTACTTATGCCAGTCGTGGAATTCTCCAGTAATAGAATTGCAATATGGCCGGCGCAGATATTGGAATATTCGCCAACGCACAATCACTGACTAGCCAAGCGACTGAATTTGAATATAACAACGGTTGCGCACTCATACACACCGGGGCATGCGCATAAACCACCACGGATACATATCTATACCGAGAGTGTTCACCGCTCGAAACGCAGGGCGACACGCTCGCGTTCGCTTCTTTTTTCTTGATACAAACTATGGCAATTTTTCAATACTGTTTCCACGATAGTGTCCATATCGTAGCTCTCTGCTCTTTTCAATCCAATTCAAACTTGAGCTTGACCAATAGAAAAGTGGTGTATAAGTTGAACAATTATAGAAGGCGAAATCTATTGAATAGGTTAGGATATTTCAATAGAGTTACTAGTCAAAAGCTTTCTTGAAAATTTTGATTCGAATATTACAATTTGTAAGAATTTATACATTCTGATTTATATATTCTTATTTATACGTTCTATGATTCTTATTCGTTTAAAGATTGGAATTTCATCTTGGATATTTTTATAACAATACTCTAATCTCTTCGATAGGGAAAAAGGGAAAAGAAAAAAACAGACACTTTGATAAATAGGAAAAGAAAAATTCGAATCGAACGTTTGAAAACTGATTCAGAGAAACGAATTTTACCAAAATCGACGTAGACAAAGTGACGTGAAGGAAAGGCAAAGAGTCAGCCCGCCGTGTTCAGGGCTCAAAAATCCTGCTGCAGGGCAGCAAGTGTGTTGAGAGGGGATGAGGACGAAGGGCGGGCGCACGATTTCCCGCAAATCCGTGGAATAACGCATGGTAAATCCCGGCTTCAAACAAACCGGTGTTTGCAGGTCGCCGCGCAGTCTGCTGGTTGAAAATGCTAGAAATGGGCCGTGTGTAAGGCAACGGCTCTATGCGAACCGCTCGCCAACATCAAATATGAAAGCTCGCAATTATATAAAGCTAAGAGTGGCCTCTATCCACGCCGGAAATGCAAACCGCGTTTTGCACGCCTCTGTATTCTGTTCACCCCCCACCCTTCCGACTACTTCTGAAACGACATGCTTCAAATCGATTTCAAAATGCAAGATTTTGTTTTGATTTCCAGATAGAAGATTTTATATGCATGTACTTGCATATATATACGGTAACTGAGAAAAAATTATATCTTTATGAATTATAAATTTGTTATAAGAAATTTTTTATAGATTTCATGATAACTGAATTTCTATTTAAAGTTAGTTATCTTTTGTTTATAATGATCAAAGAATTTTATAAATATAAAATTTTATGAAATAAATCTATAAATATAATAAATCTTTTAATTATAGAATTTAAAATATATAATATTTTTAATGGTTTAATCTTTATACTTACAAACAAAGAAAAAATAAAATATACAATCTATATAAACAAGTTTATTGGATGGACTGTACGAATGTGAGATATAGCAAAGAAAATCACGTAGACAAATGTAAAGCAACTAGCAATCATGGTATAAGAAACACACGTGGCACGATCATTCTTTGTCAACTCGACGTGTCGCAGTCATACCGTGAACCCTATTTGATCGATGTGATTTAACGTTTAGTCGTACCAAGGGAACATAAATAATGAAAACAATCTGTTACGAAGATATACATTTAACCACTTGTACTTTTAACCGGTGTTATCGAATATTTTAATAATATTTTAATACTTTATATCTTTGTGCAAAAATATATGTAAACAAAAATTAGATAAATGTAAAAAAATTAATCATAATTTTTCGGCATTTTTGTTTTCAGATTCACATGAATTGTGATCGATACTTCCCTGAACGTGCCACGCGTGTTTCGTTACGAATCATGAACAATCGTTACGCAAGATAAGTTTCACCGAGTTTTCTGCTACGCATTCGTGACGGAAAATAACGAGGAAACTGTAATTATATTCGCCTGTTACGTTAGCCTTTGTCGCTATAGAAAAGATTCTCACGTGTCTCGCGATATTACCGTTCATTTAATCACGATTCCAATCATTATTTCCTATGAACATGTTATATAAAAGAAACTTCACTGATCAATAAAATTACCAATAAACCTTAAACATTGACAATATCTCTGACATTTAAAAGAATCTCAATTTTGTAATAAACAGAGATTTCTTCCTCTAAAAGGCAAACATCAAAAGATAGGTCAGCCACGACCGCAACAACCCTCGCGGGTTCTCGCTTGTCATTCGCAATTCCAAAATTCCATTCTGAACGAAAAGTTTCATCCTCTTCTGCGTTTTAAGGGGAAACAAACTGGGCCGCGAGTGAAACCGCGCGACATACTTTAATCAAAGTGCTTCTCGCGATCCCCTTGATTTTTCTTTGCTCTCCGCCACGAGATATTCGACATATTCCAGTGTTAGTCGTAAGAATGCCCCCTTCGAATAACTTCAGGTTTTCGTGGTCGCTTTGAATCATGATTTCATTCTGTTTCGTTTTAAAGCATTTGTTTGAAAGCTTTGGTAATCTCAAAAATGTAATCTGGATGAACAAAAGAAATAGGGTTATTGTGTTACATGGATTTTCAAATGATTATAAATTATAGGAAATTGTATATAATTTCTAAATCAAAAAATTAGAATCACTCGCACTTTTGAACGATTTTTTAACTTAAAGAACTAAATAATTTATTATTTAATTGCAAATTTTTAAAATTAATCATATGCAAATTAATAATTTGTACATTATAATTTTTATTATGGAGTATTTATATATTGAATAAACGATGAAATTTCTGCATGACGAATTTTTGAAATCGTAAATTTATCTTTTGGATTAACATTTGAATTTCAAAAAATTCAAAAAATTGAATTGGATCAATCTTTGACCTGTTAAGATTAAAATAAGAGAAATAATTTCAAAAGAGAAATAAACTTAAATTTTGCAATAAAAATTTAATATTGATGAAACGATCAATATATCAAATGAACAAAAGACTTATATTGTTGATTTATAACATAATAGTTAATAAAAATTATTATCAAATACAGATCTTTAAATTTTACTAAAACCACGAAAATTGTTGAAAATTGCGATTGACCCTAATTCTTCGAACAAAGAATCTGCAATTTGTAATTCATCTTTTGTATTTTCTATTATAAATTTATATTTTTCTTCGAAAAAATTTATTCGAGAATTAAATATACTTACGATGTAGTTGACAAGCCGCGTAAACAATGCAGGAACGAACAACAACTACTCTATTGTTTACCTAACGATTATTTACGTTATTGTATCTACGATTTTCGACGTTGCAGCCGCTTATCGCCGGGTCGTGTTCCGAGGAACCGGGCATTGTTTGAAACATGCCGCTTGCCAGAATAATTTTCCACGTGTAATCCATTCCCTGCTCCCGGCTTGGAATACCTGATTCCTCGTTGCCAACGTTAAACCTGTGTACGAGAAGTTTCTCGTATTACAACACGTTAATATTGAACATCGTTTACAGATTTTTGAGATCATTCCATTTTTGTTTTTATTTTTGCTTCTCCCTTTAATAATTGTATCATATTTTTGGATAATTTTATATAATGCACCAAAAATAACGTCATAAATCTATCGTTTTTCTACATTTTTCCAAAATAATCTTTATCAAAAGATTGAAGAAAAAAAAAAGGAATTGAAAGTACCAATCCTAACACCATCCCTTAATTTTGAAGTTTACATTCCACCGCTCCCTCGAAAAACATCGTGTCGCAAAACAGCAAACTCCAATCCACCCCAATCCACGATCACGAAGAGAATCCAGCAAAGGCGAAAGAAGCATCCACCCCTCTGTAACGCGACATTCCACCGTGTTGGCTTATAAATTATTTAATCAAGCCCGAAGTAAGCGGAAAGAAAGTTACTCGCGCCGTTAATTCGAGCGAGATACAACTAAAAGGGAAGAAGCCGTGGATGGAGCCAGCAAAGAGGGGGAGAAAAAGGGTGGGAAGCTTCCTCGAGTGAAAGGAAGAAGAAACGAGGGGGAGAGGGAGGGAGGGAGGGAGGGGTGGATCCAGGATAGGTCAGGGTGGCTCCAGGCAGTAATAAGAACGACGGCATAGTTTTAACTTCTCTTTTACGCCGGCATTTTCCTCGGCGCTCGAGCTTTGTGCGAATGAAAGCACAAATTGCTTAGGTTCAGTCTTCTGGGAGACATTGAGACACTCTCCACGCTCTCTCTTCTAGCTTCACGGAGTCGACCGTGTTCCTTCAGACTCCGTATCATACCATCTGCTTCTTCTTTGTTGCTTTTTTTCCACAGGAGCTCTTCGTTCCCGTTTTCCTGAAAGGAAAGTACGGCGTTAAAAGCTTCCGCTACGCGAGTTTCGCCTTGTACACCTTGTGAATTCTTATGGCCAGTTGGAAAGTTGATTTTGTTTCTTTCTTCTAGTGGTGGAGCGTTAGTTGTTGATATTGATTTCAATTCGAATATATTATGCTTAGATGAGTGAAAAATAGTAGTCAACTGAAAAAGAGATAAATTCATTTATGAAAAAAAAAATTATTGTAAAATATTCAATTTGTAGAGAATCCAATTTAAAACCTTAAAAATTAAAAAAAGATTTTCATTCTCCTCTTCCAAAGAGATAAAAATATAATTTCTAAGATCCTTAATAACATTAACTTTAGAAAATGATTAACTGTAATGAGGAAACATTTTGTGCGATAGTTAATTTCAAAATAAGATAAGCGATAGCGAGAGAATGAAAATGGATGCAAACGGGAAGGCTAGAGAAATGTCACAGGAGATGATGGAAAAGGGCTTGGACTTGAGTAAAAGTAATGGATTGCAGCACCATGTATACGTACGGTATAGCTCCGGGAGATGCACTATCGAATGTTTTATTCATAAGCGTAGAACAAAGCCTGCTTGTTTATCCTGAGGACATCTCTTAGTGTACAATACTACAACGCTTCCCAAAGACCACAAGTTGCATTTACGCGTCTTCAGTATAGTTGCATCGAAAATCATGACTACCATTCGATACCGAGTATGGTTGACAATCTTGATATTGAGATAGACCTAGTACATGTAGATATTTGTATAGCATAGTAGAATAATGCTGTAGAAAAATAATTTAATAAAAATTTAAATTGTTGTTTCTTCAAAAATTGTTTCATACAATGAATAGAATATAATTATTGCAAAAAATATTTTATATAAAAAATATTAAATCAAAAAATCTAAAAAAAAACGTATTAAATTCAATGTATAGAATATAAAATTTTCTAACTATAAATTAGAAATCACATCTAATTCAAATCATTTCAAACATTAAAATCTTCCAAAACAGTGGATAAATATCAAACGTTCATTTTATCCAGTCAATTACCAAGAACAGAGCAAAATCGCTTCAACGATAACCAAACGAGCTAAGCTGGTGGCAGCTCGGATAAGATCGAAAAAAAATTTAAAAAAAACGTATTATCGCAACGTCAACGAGCGGTCGTGGGCACCCGGCGAATTGCCCTAATAAAAATGCTACACTGCCTACGCTTTTTTTCGCGTGGGAGTTAGCCAACTGTCGGCCGAAAAAAGAAGGCCTTTAGTAGCCCGACGATCACAACGCTTGATAACTGTGAACGCAGTAGCTCGGTTACAGTAGTATCATTGTCATTTGTATCTCCACGGGTGCACCCTGCCACCGACGACAATCAAAGGACCCCACGGTCTTTTTCTTTTTCTTGGCTTAGTCGAGTTTGCTTTCGTTTGATCGCGTAGCTGTAGTGCGATGTCTCCCTTTGTAGGACAGAGATACGTTTCAAACCGACTTCTGAGAATCATACTGTTTTCTGCGTCTAATTTTTTGTACAGTATAGTGGTTTCTGCTGATCGAAGAGGTTAAGTTTGAGAGGTTAAGATTGGGGCCTATTTGAATAAAAATTAATAAATATTAGTCGAAATGTAATTTTTATATTTTCTGTTCATTAAATATAAAACTCACCTCGAAATTTTATTATAAAAGATAAACTTACTTACTTTTAAATCGCTTCAAACCCTTTCCAAACTATGGAAGCGTCCATCCTAACCTAATTTATCTCAACTTAAAATGAAATGATAGAAGATTTGATTATAATAGGTTTCCAGTTGCTAATAAATTCAGTATAAACGATAATTCTGTATAAAGAATGATAGAAAGGGAGAATAGTTGCTCGTGAGTAAACTTCATCCTCCCTTTTGACCTCGTTAATTGTTATATCGCATCTCGAACTTGAAGCTCGAACTCTCTGCGGTGAGAGGAGCGATACTGGTGTGTGGGTGGATCGCGATGATTTACGAGAAGCGTTGTTCCGAGGCTCGGACTGGACTCCAGAGACGCTTTGCTGATAGCGTCAGAGCCACATAAGTCATCGAGACTATACGTACGAGTCTCTCTCCTTGTCTCAACTTCCCTCTCTACCTGTATTCTTTTCTCCTTTCCTCTTTTTTCCCTTGACGCGATCTTCTTTCCTCTTTCCCTTCAAGCAGTCTCTTTCTTCTCTTCATACTTTTTCTGATTTCTAGGTTAGATTTTCTTTGTCTGGAAAAGTGGACCACGTGAACGGTCTCTGTTCCTAATCTTCTTTGGCCGTCCATTATCGGAACCCCAATTATAACGTGGACGATACGAACGAAGAATTATAATTGCTTTCTATGTCGCACATTGGAAGTGGACCCTTGCGTGTCTCAACGATGAATCGCGCACATCGGAGGGTTCTAGGATAATTGACAAATATTAATGTTCCATTCGATAGTTGCGTAAAGGAAACGCAAGATAGATAGAAATGTGTAGATTTCGTAGATATAGATTAATTTATTTTAGTAAAAGTGTTAGAATATACATAATTATGAATTAATTGTTAGTAATTTATTAGTAATTTATTTTTTGCAATATTTGTATTTTATATAATCATATATATATAATATTTAAAAAATACAATTAAACAATTAAAATTATATTAATCATCTATGATTCAATAATATTAATAAGAATTCATTAAAAAAAATTCAAAATATTATAATTTATTTTAATGTAAATTTCACTCTCTGTCTCAATCTAGTAACTTTTTTGAAAACAATTCTATCATATCGATAGTATTACAATATATTTACAATGGACATTTATTTCAAGAACCACGAAATTTTAAGATGAACTTGCGAAATAAGACTCGAGACTGATAGGCGTGAAAGTATTCTCGACCTCTTCCTTGCATCTCACGACACCTCGAATTACCTATCTCCTCGACGTGTCAGCCAACGTTTTGCGTTTTACCACGGCAAAATTAGTTCCTGGATTTACGCTCGCGACGCGAAGGAATTTTCTGCCTTTATGCTACTCGAGTATGATCGGTTCATAATTAACACGAAGATTGAACAGAGTTTTTGGTTCGAGTTGCAGTTGAAGTAAAAGCATGAGATACGTATAGTGAAATATAATGAAGAGTGTGTGTATTTTATGAAAAGAGGTTAGAAATTAAAAGGAAGGTTATTAATTATATAGATGTTATGTATATATGAAGTGATTAAGTTACAAGATAATCAAGATTAGTTGAATAATAGAAAATACGAAATATTTTGAAAATATTTAAAGTATTTTATATAATTATATATTTCTTAATGACCATTTTCAAAGTAATGAAGATCTGATTCTTAAAGTTTTAAGAAAAATATCGTATTAAATATGTGACAAGAAGAAGTTAAATTACGAATTGTGATAATAAATAATGGATCAAAGGACAAATCGTGATGAGAAATCAAGTGCATTCTAAGATTAAATAAAGCATGGTCGTCTTTTGCGGTATGTCCCAATTAAGACTGATTTTCTCCGTTTCCTTTCCGGTATTAGTGTCACGGTGAGCGCGCAATCTCAGAATCTACGGGTATTGTGTGCCGACCGTTCGTCCACTTTACAATCCACGCCATGAATATTACATGGCTTCTTACCCAGCGGAAAGATAATTGTCAAGAGTTCTAAATACGGCCAGTTGTAGCCGGGTGGACAGAAAATGCATAATACATAACGCGACGAGAAAACGAAAATTTACGACGCGCATGGCCACCGTTCTGCCACGCTAATCTACTGGGTGACTCGCCGCCGACTGAATTAATTCGTTTGCAATGCTGGTGAAAACTATGATTACGCGCTCTGTTCCATGATTCGATTCGTTGCATCCCACTGCCGTTGCTGTGTAATTTTTAACGATTAATACGAATTCCTGCGCGACTTGCCGTATCGTAATAGAGTCAGCTTATTTCATCTTTCTATACAGTTAGAGTTTCCTCTATAGGTTTGATTTGATCGTGTCAAGAATTTAACAAGAGCATCATATCATATTCAAGTAAGTGAAATTAAGATTATGAAACGATTGGAGAAAAATTTAAGATTAAATTGTTTTAAACGATAAATTAGGTTATCACAAACCATGTTCGAAAATGGAAACTTGAATCAATAAATTTGTGAATAATTGAAAGTGAACAGTTAAATATTTAGAGACAATGTTACATAAATCTTAATATTCAGGGATGTAAGAGTGTATTAGAATAGGATTCGCATAAACGATATGATCTTCGCGGTCAGTCAGATACGATTTACTACGACGATGCTTTTTGCATCCGTTGCGTAGATTTCCCGCTGTTGAACTGTATGACAGGTATAAACCAATGATTTATAAACGGTTTATGATGTCTGCCCATGCGGCACAAGACGCGTCTTCCACTTTCTAGCTACCAACCGTTTTCTTTTAACAGACTGGACTGATTTCTTATTTCAAAATACCGGAGACGATTTAGCCTCACGGGCACGATCTATTTTCCGGGCATAAATCACGCGATAAACGAAACCCTGCGTCATTTTTTAGATAGTTATTATATCGACGAGACTGGATAACCTGTAATTAAGGACCTCTTATTTTCATTCGTTCGATGCTATTCTTTGATGAGAATTCGAAATTCAATTCCAATTTTGACTAGAGTCAAATTTATCTTCATTCAAAAGATTTGCTTAAGCATTTTTAAATGAAATAAATAAATATTTGAGGTTATGTGTCTATATATAATATTTAAAAAATAATTTAATTTAGAATTACGAATTTATATAATGTGAATTTATATAATGATAATAGTGGTATTAAAATTATAAAATCACAAAAATTCTATAGAAAATAAAACGATAATTTTACTTATTCAATTTATATTCTATATTGCAAGATTGTCATTTTAATCAGATAATGTTCGTAACCCTTGAGACTGAATTATAATTCTATGATAATTTAGAAATATACTGCAGGTGACTGCAGCGTGACCAAAAGTGTCCTCTTAAATAAATATGGACTGAAGCGGAACAACCCTTGGTGAATCAGCAGGTGTAAGAATTTATACACCTGAAATGTATTCTAAATTAAAAATCATCTGATAATTTCCATGCAAAAACATGAACTAATTTTCATTGTAACATGTGTTCCTATACAATAGATCTACTAGAAATATTTCTTATATTATAATAATATAAATTTAATAATTAATGATTTAAACACATTAAACAAAATAAAAACAGTTAACAATAATATTTTTTTAATTATTTAAATTTTTTAAATAATAAATTCTCAACTTCCTCACACATTAATACAAAAAAATACTACGAATAAAGTGATAATTTTAAAAAATTATATTAATAACCGCTTCACTTTCAATCTAATCTCTTCAATCTCATCGAAAATTCCATTCAAAACGTCGGAAAAACATTCGGTTAACGCGCTTTCATCTCGACTCCGGCAAAGAAAGTTTGAAATCTGTTCGCGTACAGGAAAAGGCACGTAAATTTCGCCGAGATAAACTTTTCAATCCTGCAGACCTCCGTGCCACTGACGAATTGCGAGCGGCCATGCTGTGACAGATGGATCTTCGTCGGACGGTCGACGTGTCCGCCCCCTTTCGCAAGCGTTCCCGATCGACGAACCGCTAATTTTCTCGGACAACCGCAATAATAACAACCCGGTCAGGGAGGGGTCGCATTAAAATGCACCAATAACAATCCTTAACCGGGACGAACCCTGTGATTACTTACGGATAAATCTTTGCCGTCAGTAGTCGACAGATATCTAGGATCTTCTCTAGAACCTTTCGAAAGGGATCACGGTGGGCCACCTTCTTTCTTTCTATACATTTTTAACGAAGTCCCTTTTTCGCACAATTTTGCCAACATATTTCGCATCGATCAAACGCTGGCAAGGCTGACAATGAGATTGAAAAGTTGTTTGATTCTAGTTTGAAGAACGTTGATTTATATGGTCGTTTTTAATGGATTATAATTAATTCTTGATATTTTATTGGATAAGGTCTTCTGAGAATTCGATATTTTTTTTCTTTTTGTGTTGAAATAAATTTTTTTTATTTTCTTTTATAAGTAATATAAAAAAAAATGATTGAATATAATAATTAACGCATAAAGTTCATTTTTGCGAGAATGTATCATTAATGAAAAAAAAAGACTAAGCAAAAAATTCCTTTTGCTCGAGATTACTTATACTTAATATAAAAGAGCGAATAAAAAAACAAAGGTAAGAAAATTTTTGTTTAATAACCCGTCATTAATCAATCATCTCTTAATGATAACACGCTCAGGCTTACTGTGAAAAGTTTGAGAAGAAAACATGATATCAGGGCTGCTTGTAGAAAGGATACAGCATTCTCGTAACCCGTATCGATAGAAAAATCGAATTAAGAACAAAAAACCGTGGCCATCATGTGTTCCACCAGCCCTGTTCTAAAGAGACTAAAGAAGAGAAAGAAGACAGAGGAGGAGAACAGGTTCGCTAACGGACACCTCGACTACCAATTTACCGGGTGCACGCAACTAGCCGGTCATATTTTATTTACGATATAATTGAGATATATTGAAAGCCAAGATACAGACGTCCAACTGTGTATTCCTGCGAAAGAACGAACACAGACGAGCCGTAATTTGAACGTTAAGAAGAAGAAGAAGGTTAACGCGCATCTTATTAGTCTGGTGAAATAGGTGAGAACGATCTTTACTCGTATTAAACTTTTCCTTAAACTTGCTTTTAATTTTATTTAATTTTATAATTAAGTGGAAAGTAATATAAATTAATCAAATAATTATAATTAATATGTGCACACATTGATGACCAAGTTTAATTGTATATCATTTAACGCTTGAAATATTTTTAAAAAGATCAGTGATGTGTTATCCGAGAGTTAAGCGTCAGAAATGCGCGAAACTTAGCTGGGGAGGGTAATCTCCCCGGGCAATCTGTTGCGTTGTCAGGAGAAACGGAAAGAAAGTAAATTTTCGCGGAGATTTCCTCGCGAGTCCAGGAGTAACTCGTCGGAAAGTTAAATTTTAAAAGCGTTTAACGTCCACAGACCCTCTGCCGGCTCGCCTCCGTCTGCTCCTTGGGGTGAGAAGAAAACCAGCGGCGCGAAGACTATAACCCACTCCCGAGCGACCGTCAAATTTTAACATCCTCGTCATGTCGATTTTCCATCTTGACGCGATGATTTCCCATCTAAAATATCTTTAGAACCGTGATAATCGTATTTATCAAAAAATACGAAAATACTTGTATTTAAAACCATCGACGACGCAAATCAATATTCATCAAATCAATTCCTAATTATCCGATTATTCCCAATTCAAACAATCCCCGAGAAACATTATCGGATAATTACCGAATTCGACAAAGGCCACGCTAATAGACCAGCAAATTATTAATGTCCTCCTGGAATAACCCGCGATTCTGTTTGCTCGTGTCCCGTTAGCTGGGAACAAAGAACATTTCCCTCCGATGCTCCAAGGAGGGTTAAGGTTATAAATAGTCTTCAGCAGGCAGTAAAGA